TTGGTGTACTTATATTCAATTCAAATGCACAGGATTATAAATTAGATGAATTTGAAAATGATCAATCAATACTTACATATCGAACAATAGGAGGAATATTAGATATATTCTTTTTTGCTGGACCACGTCCTGAAGATGTAATTAGACAATATCAATTAGTTATTGGTTATCCTTATATGCCACCTTATTGGGCATTGGGTTTTCAACTTTGTCGATATGGTTATGATACACTTGAAAATATGAAAGCAGCTATGAAAAGAACTTTAGATGGAAAAATTCCAGTTGATGTTTTGTAAGGAATATTTATTTATTCTTTTTTTTATTATTAATTTTTTTAAAATTTTGTTTAGATATGGTGATATTGATTATTTTCGACAGCAACTTGATTTTACTTGGGATCCAATGCGTTTTAAAGGTTTACCCGAATATATTGATTGGCTACATACTCAAGGAATGAAATTTATAACCATACTTGACCCAGCTATTGATTCTGAAGAAGCAAATTATGATGTTTTTACTGAAGGACAAAAAGCAGATATTTGGATTAAATGGCCAGAAAGAAAAAATCCTCAATTCAATGAAACTCATAATAGAAATATGCTTGGATACGTTTGGCCATATGGTTTGTTTAGAATGTATAGAGTTTATTTTTATCATTACCTTTTTTAATTTTTATTTTAGGTAAAACCGTATTTCCTGATTATTTCTATCCACCAACTAAAGATTGGTGGAAAAATCAAATAATAAAGTATCATAAAAAAATAAAATTTGATGCTCTATGGATTGATATGAAGTAAGTTTAACATATTTCTTAAATAATTCAATTAGATTCATTCAACATTGTATTGATAATAACTATGAAAAAAAGGTGAACAAAAGAATTATTCATGTGAAATCTTAACAGTATTAAACAGCTAAAATATGTACACGTGGAACAATAATTAAACTATATCCATGAGACAATTGCAGAAAAGGCTTAGCCTGATTGTAGTTTTGTAAATGGGACTTTATGTTGTAAGACGCATCGGAGAGCGCCATTATCAAATCGCTGTATCATTGCCCAGAAAAGACCTATTTTTCATTTTTTTAGCGACATGATGATACCTCAGTTTTCTGTTATACACCATTGCGCTAAGGAAATTTTTACCAGACAAAAATGAGCCTATAGTGCTCTATTGGTTATTATAATTTAGTTTTCTGAAAATGACAAAAACAGAAATGTGGGTATTGAGATCCCTGGAAGGAGATACGCCTACTGATCCTAGCAGGTTTGCCTTCTGGTTTCCTACGTTTCTGGTAATTTTGAATTTTAAGCAGTCACTAAGGTTATGGCATGCAGCTGTACACGATGAGAAGCATATTGATAATTGTTACTTGTTGAAAATTTTCTTAGTAAAATGACGAATAATGAAAAGCTGGGTAACCGCTCAGTTGCTAAAAAAACATAAAATATGCCTTGTTTGGACAGTGATACAGTAGATTGACCATGAAGCTCTTCAAATTCAGAAACCAGTAAATTCAAAAGTCGTAGAGTTGACTGATGCGCATCTTCTCGAAGGAAGATTATTAAAGAGATCTGTGTAGAGTATGAAGGAAGCAATCATGTGAATTATCAAACATACAAGATTCAACAGCAATCGAATCTCTAGAGAGTTGACTTTTAGAAAGAACTTTGCACAAGTTGATTTTCAGATATGCTGGGGTCACAACCTTCGCACATGCCATAATATTGTATAGTGTCTATTGATCAGTATACAATATTTCATAATATCAAAACTTGATGAGATTGCAATATCATGCATAACATTAGATGCACCGTGAACTGTTATGCTAAATGGCATAGGTGACTTTTCAATTTGAAGATGATCGCCAAATCCGACAAGATCCTTTGTAGAAGAATTTTTTTCTTCATCCGATTGTTTAGTATAAGATCTCATTTTGTTTCGTATGTATGTGTTAGTGAGGCTTTGACTTCGTTCTACACAATTTTAATGTTGGCACACGAGGATTCAATTTAAATCTATAAGTTTCTAATTGAACTATCTCTCATGATATGCAATAGAATTTGTTAATGTGTATACTATTAGATAGAAGTAGTATTTTTCTCTAAATCTGCATTAATTTAGGTCTGCACTAGAAATAATAAGTTCATAGTACTTCTTGTAATTCTAAGAAGCCACAATCTAAATTGCAAGCTACCGACAGTTTTCGATCATCTTTCATCATATGCAATTGTAGTCAGCAAGATTTATCTTAATATGAATCGAAAACCAACATATTTCGTTGAGTTTTCTCTTTGGTTTTAACAATAGTAAAAAACATTTAGTGAACCAGCAAATTTTGATACAAATAAATTACAACCATGGAATTGGCCACATCCAGAACCATGGAATCTTCATTGTCCAATGGAAGAACAACTAGAAAGTCCTAGATATAAAACAGCCATACATGGTGAATATTTATCTGACAAAACTCTTTGTATGATTGGTGAACAAAAAGATGGTCAAGGAAAAGTTTATAATCATTATGATGTACATAATCTATATGGATGGTCAGAAACATTATCAACATTAGATGCTCTTCGAGCCTTAGAAAATAAACGATCAGTTGTAATTAGTCGATCAACATTTCCCACATCTGGTGCATATTCTGGTCATTGGTTAGGTGATAATACAGCTGGATGGCCACACCTTAAATATAATATAATTGGAATGCTTGAATTTAATTTATTTGGTATCCCATATGTAGGTGCTGATATTTGTGGATTTTTTGAAAATCGAACAGAACAAATGTGTCAACGATGGATGCAATTAGGTGCATTTAATCCATTCTTTCGTAATCATAATGCAATAAGGTTTATTGATCAAGATCCTGGCAGTTTTTCTCCCTCTGTTATTGATTCAAATCGTCGTGTTGTTGAAACACGTTATACATTAATTCCATATTTATATACACTTTTTCATCGTGTTCATATTACAGGTGGTACTGTTGTTCGTTCAATGGCACATGAATTTCCAACTGATTCAATATGTTGGTCGATTGATGAACAATTTCTATGGGGTTCATATTTATTAATAGCTCCTGTTATTTATGAAAATCATACAACAAAAGATGTTTATTTACCATCATCAAATGAGCGATGGTTTAATTATTATACAGGTGAAGAACAAATGAAACTTGGATATATCAATGTTGCAGCTGATTATGATTATTTACCATTATTTTTACGTGGTGGAGCAATTTTACCTCATCAACAATCAGCAATGAATACAGTTAAATCACGATTAAATCCAATGAATCTAATTATTGCACTTGATAAACAAGAAAAAGCTCAAGGAAATTTATTTTGGGATGATGGAGACTCAATTGATACATATCAAACATCAAAACATAATTATTTTAATTTTAATTATGATAAACAACGTTTATTAATTGAACCATGGACATATAAATATACAGAAATGAATGATCGTATTAAATTAGAAGAGATTACAATTTATGGTTTGAGAAATCAACCAAAAGAAATGCGATGGAATGGACAAGAGTTGTCAAATATTAAATGGACATTTAATTCAACTTTAAATGTTCTTAAAATACAAGCATTAGCTTTAGATTTATCTCAAACACATAAATTTATTATTTCTTAATTATGGAGTTTTTTTATGTATTGAATAACGATAAACCAGCTTTCTTTCTTTTTTATAAACGTAATATTATTTCTTTGAAAATTGATTGTACATCGATCGATAACATTGTATTGTATCATAAATTTAATCTAATCTGTAAATCATTGGAAAAATAAACTTACTTTTCTTTTTGATATTCACGCCATAATATGTGTTGTATTATTTCGATAACATTGCAGTTGTTTCAAAGGTCTTAATAAGCTGCGTCCGACTGGTTCGATATTGCAATGAAATAAATCTTGAACAAAATGCAAAAACTTTCAAAAAATTTTACATGTTTCCGGTAAAGTTTAATATTCGATAATTCCATGTAATTCTTCCATTAGCTGAAGCATTTCGGCAATGAACAGCAAGTATATATAGCAAAACAAAGAAAAGGATAAAATTGTCGTTATGTTAAGAAACTTACTTAAAATTAAAAAAATGCCTTTGTCTAGCGCTTCTCGTCCATCATCACATACAAAACAGTATATACATCTGAATTGATCAAATCTCTTTTGAAGCAATAACCATCGACATGTGCTGTTATTAAGAATGAAAAAGTAAACACATCTTTATGTTGAAATCTTTTTGGTTTTTCAACTGAAAAGTCAGAAAACACTGGTGAATGCGAGAGAATTGAAGGCTTTGCATGCCATCGAATATGTTACCGAACATTTGTTTATACATCAATTACTGGTACTAGAAATATTCTTGCTTCTTCATGTATGAGATATTGATTCAATGCAATTAAATGAGTATCCCACTTTTTAAGAAAAAAACTATCGGTTGGGCATGTGGCTATGTGTGGGATCTTATCTTCTCCCATATCACACCTACACCCTATTTCATTCAGTTTGATACATCTGACAAAGACAAATATGAAAATGAAAATGACGTTAGTTTCTAAAACAAAAATGTATCCATTTAGAAAGAAAATATATTATTTATAAATACTTAATTAAATTTGATGCAGATAGTAGTCTGGTCGAGATTGTCCAACGTTATTTATAAGTTTTGTACTTTAGTTATAATTTGACATAGAAATTAACATTATAATCAACATACAATGTTTTTATTAAAAAGAACAACGTTATTAAGAGATGTTATTGGTAATTAAGCATTTTATGAAAAAAAATAAATGACGTTACTTCTAACTCAATTCTGAACAAAATAAGTTAAAATGTTCACTAAACTGCTTTGTTCTGCTTCTATTCGTATGATACTATTGTGTTAATATTCTTCAGTAGAATACCATATGGTCGAACAGCTGTTGGGTCAACAATACGCCAGGCTTCGCCTACTTTGACTGGAATTGTGTGGATAGTATATGAGTTAGGTCTCACCCGACATTGGAAAACAACTTGAAATCCATCGGTTTTTTCCGGTGATGTTTTTACTTCGAACGTTTCCGTATAAAAAAGGATGAGATCCGCCGTTACAGTGTGTCGCTACATTCAATCCAGGTCGATTTACTTCTTCACCTTTCTGTTGCATTGCTTCATGACTCATAAGATCTGTTTTGACGCTACTGACTAGCAAACCTTGATCTGTAATGCCTTTTACTGCTTTTGATTTCGTACCGTGGAAAACGACTGGCCATTCTCCTGGACCATTGCTAGAGCCAAGCCAAGCTGAACCATCCTTATATTTATTATCGACTTTGAGTGCATGACGAAACCAACCGATTGGTAAATAGTACGGAAGATCGCCACGCATCAATTCTGCAGGTACATCTGGTTTTGTATAATCATAATTGTGTTTTGGATCGAAATCAAATGGCTGAAGCTGTAAATACGATAAAATTGGCGTCCACTGGCATTGATATTTATCTGGTTTGATATAACAAAGAATAGTATTGTTTGAGAAGCCCAATTAAGCATGATCCTACAGATAGATTTATACAAGAATTTTTATTTTCGTGGCAAACATATTAATAGATATAACACATTTTCAAAATATAGATTCGTATAGTTCATTTTTCTCTAGAAAAGAACACTTACTTAAAAATTGACGATTAAATAAGTGACAGAGTATTATTATGAATATGATTGGAATACATTTCATTGTCAACAAAAGTATGATAGTAATAAATAAAAATGCTTTTATAAGTTACTTGTGACAAGGTCAATATATTCTGGATGATAAGCTAATTATTTTACAACACTACCACTATTGTAAGTGGAGTCCGTTAGGTCTAAAAGTTTTGGATCCGAATCCGACCCGACTGGTCGAGTCCACGCCCGGAACCAACCCGACGGATTCTAGTCGGAAATAGTTATAAACAAAGGAATACAGAACTATTGTAGAAACACCACACTGTATATAATGCGTGTTACCTTGAAAGTCTTGGCTAGCTCTTCTGTTTTTGTTTTTTTCAGGTGTAGTTAGAACCAAATTGACTTCAGCTTTTCGTTCACGCTTCTTTGATCTCTCGACAGATGTGACACGAACAAAATCATTTTCACAGGAAAGATCTTGAGCAACAGCATCGACAAAGGCCAACAAAAATTGTTGCATACTTTGTTTTGATTGAGCAATGTTATCATAATCCAAATCAACAATAAGAGCAAACTTAGCAGAAGTTATATGTTCACTAGCAAGTAAATGAGCACTACCTAAATCAGCTATACCAGTTGCTGTGCGATGAGCACTCCCTTCAAATGAGAGACCTTCAGTAGTAAAACTTAACTTAGCACCAAACTGTTGAATGAATGCATCGAGTGCAAGTACAAGCGTTTCTGTGGCATCTTCTTTAACTTCAATTGGTTCACTAGTAAAATCATTTGAATAATTTGTTTCATTCCGAACTGCTCGAAAACGTGCCATAGTATTGAATGGACGACTCTCAGTAATATTAGGTGGATATTTTATGTTTTTCAAAANCGTGGCAAACATATTAATAGATATAACACATTTTCAAATTATAGATTCGTGTAATTCATTTTTCTCGAGAAAAGAACACTTACTTAAAAATTGACGATTAAATAAGTGACAGAGTATTATTATGAATATGATTGGAATACATTTCATTGTCAACAAAAGTATGATAGTAATAAATAAAAATGCTTTTATAAGTTATTAGTGACAAGGTCAATATATTCTGGATGATAAGCTAATTATTTTACAAAACTACCACTATTGTAAGTGGAGCCCGTTAGGTCTAAAAGTTTTGGATCCGAATCCGACCCAGACTGGTCGGGTCCACGCCCGGAACCAACCCGACGGATTCTAGTCGTAAATAGTTATAAACAAAGGAATACAGAATTATTGCAGAAACACCACACTGTATATAATGCGTGTTACCTTGAAAGTCTTGGCTAGCTCTTCTGTTTTTGTTTTTTTCAGGTGTAGTTAGAACCAAATTGACTTCAGCCTTTCGTTCACGCTTCTTTGATCTCTCGACAAATGTGACACGAACAAAATCATTTTCACAGGAAAGATCTTGAGCAACAGCATCGACAAAGGCCAACAAAAATTGTTGCATACTTTGTTCTGATTGAGCAATGTTATCATAATCCAAATCAACAATAAGAGCAAACCTAGCAGAAGTTATATGTTTACTAGCAAGTAAATGAGCACTACCTAAATCAGCTATACCAGTTGCTGTGCGATGAGCACTCCCTTCAAATGAGAGACCGTCAGTAGTAAAGCTTAACTTAGCACGAAACTGTTGAATGAATGCATCGAGTGCAAGTACAAGCGTTTCTGTGGCATCTTCTTTAACTTCAATTGGTTCACTAGTAAAAATCATTTGAATAATTTGTTTCATTCCGAACTGCTCGAAAACGTGCCATAGTATTGAATGGACGACTCTCAGTAATATTAGGTGGATATTTTATGTTTTTCAAAACTTTCTATTCATCATCAAGTTTGAACCATTTGGGTGTCATAACTAATTTTGTTGAATTTTTTCCGATGACTATTGTCGTCACTTTAAGTTTTGAAGGTGTGAGTAGTGGACCAATTTGTTCTATTTTAAAACGGACTGTTTTTGTTCTAACGACAGTATGCGGGTAGGCATGTTTAACTTCTTCATTTCGCTTACGTGATAACTCTTCAGTTTTTTCGTAATTTTTCTATTTTAATGAGTACAACTGAATCGAGCTCAAGACAACGTTGAGAATCATTATACATTAAATGGAGTATTCTTTTACGGAGTTTATCAATACTCTTGTTGATTGTATAAATATTTTCGAGATTTTCCATCGACCGTTAAATCGAATTAGTTTCTTGTTAAAAAGGGCTCTAAAAGATAGATATTATACTAGATGATTCCAACAATTTTACTTTAAAAGAACGCACGATTTTATAACGATATTCAACGAAAACAACATCATGATAATATTACTCTATGATAAGAAACTTCATTTTTGAAAAAAATATCTTTGTGTTTTTACTTACAGATCCCTAAATGAATTCATGTGAATAAAATATTTGTTCGTAATGATTATATTTTCTGTTTGATAAAAACTAGAATTTATCAAGAACTATCGTCAGTTGAAATTACATATATTATTATGGTTAATTCTGAAAAGTAAAAAAACAAAGCAAATGATTGGCTGATCATTAAAGTATGCTAGGACTTTTATTTAACTATAGTGATTGAAAATATTGTAAAAATTTTCGTAGAAAATTAGGTACTTGAATAGTTAAATTGTAATGTTTTACCGATATTCAAAAAAACATATGGTTTGATTTCACTTCTCGATCACATATGTAATTTTTTTTCTTCGCTATTTTTCTTTTCGCAAATAGGCCTTCATCTTATTAATGTGCATACGAAAAAAAGAGAATTATACTCTATTCTATATATCAAGTATTGTTTTTGATAAAAACAAATCTTACGCCACAAATGATCCAATGATCTAAAAAGAAGAAGGAACATTACTCAATAAAACTGGCAACGCCAAAGTAATTCCAATGTAAATGTTCACCAAAACAAATCATTATTTTTTTTTAAAGATTGAGAATAATACCTTTCACGCATAGTAGCATAGAAGAATGAATGGTTCTCTTTACTGGTGATAGAACGAAAATTTACATAAACCTTTTCTAATTACATTAAAAACAATCTCTCCAAGCCGAATTTTCATCGAAAAACAAACTAATGACGACAAAAAATTCAGCTTTATGTATAAAAATATGTTTTTTTTTGGTGTGTGAGAAATCTTATGCAAATAATGTCTGATGTTTTTTTTCCAACAAGAAAATGATAAAATAAATAATGAGCACTAGAATATGTAAATTTGATCGAATAATAATATTTATTGAAATGGCTTCTTTTATAATAGTTATGCGTGAGCGTCAGATTTATTTTTGCTGAAAGTAACGAAATACTCTTATTATCTTAATTCGATCACTCTTTGTTCTATTTTCGAAATATTTTTACTTAGCTTTCTTTCAAGTTTTTATTCCATTGTCATTCATTTGTTTTTTTATGTCTTTTCTTCTTTCGACTTTTTTTCATGTTGGAATTTTAACCATTAAGACTTGTTTATTATATTATAATATAAATTATGCAGACTCAACAAAAAATTTTCTTCTGATATCATCCATAATATTCATTATTTTTATTTGAATTCAAGACAGAAAAATTATCAAGTTCAGAATTAGTCCATTTTCGGCGATTTCAACATCGTCGATCGAATTGATAAGCAAAAACGACTCTGGATCAAATATGATCGACTCTATAGGTAAATTTTAATCATAATTCATGAGTTCACTATATCCAATAAATTGATTACTATATCAATTGGTAACCAACTAGGGTGTGGATCTGATTCATCTCTTCACTCACATCCCACTTGTACCTTCGATTAGGCAACAGATTTAAACAACATGGTGACCAACTGATATGGTAATCCATCGATTTTGGTAATGAATTAGCTAATTATAATTAAATGTTACATATAAAAGCTATTATATTTAATCCAGACTCGTTTTCGGTTATCAAGTTATTCTGCGATATTGAAATCGACAAAAATAGAAATTATCCAAATTCAAATATTATCAACGATTGCTAAATGAATTATGAAATTATACTGAAAGTGACATTATATACTTGTTTTATCGATTGTAATTGAATATGATACATTCTAGTCATTAGAGTTTAATTAATCTGTTTACAACTCAAGACATAATATTACTACAGTAAATCAATAAATCAAATAACAAATATTCGTCATTCATTCGTATAACAGATTTATAAACATTGTTCTTATGTAAACATAATCTGACTTATTCAAAAAATGCACTTCTTTATTTGCACTATGTTTCATTCAGAAATTTTTTGTAGATCTTCTCTTCTTTGTGAATTAAGACAATGTTTTTCATTGCAATAATATTTACAAAGTGTACCATTGAAAATAGACTACACAGATTGACTATGGCAGTCTAGTTTTATTACAAGACAAAACAATATAAAGTCGAACAAATAATAAAATGTTTACAAGCTGGCAAAAACTTATATATCAGAGATCCTTGAAACTGTCTCATGCTACCCAGTGCTTCATATGTCTCGTTCTTTTTTTTGCTTCATGAGCACATTTCAAAGACACAAAATCGTTTGTTCGGCGTTCTTTCAGTCCATCTCGGATCGTGAGATGGTGCAGTGTTACATGCACGTGAGCTAGAGAGACAAGTAGCGTGAGAAAATCCAACAGATCTCTAATATATATGCCAAAACTTTCATAAATCTATATAATTATTATACAAAGTAGAATTTACAGCCGATAAGGAACTATCAAAACTTGGCACAAAAATACGATAAAAAAATGAAGGTAAATTTCGTACGTATGGCCATGGAAGATTCATAAAACATTGAGTTATTCGACGATTTAATGAACGAAGTTGAGATACTAAAAACACAATATCATAAAATTCACTGGAGATTTCTCCATTGATATCCAATCGATGAGCTAAAATATCGATGATTTTCAAAATAAATAACCAAAAAGACGATTGTGTTTACCTTGGGTATATTCAGAAAATGCTTCAACACATTCATATTGACATTTTGACCATGATTTATTATCTTCATTAATTAAGTTTAAGTCTTATAAATAAAAAGTAAAACTTTTTGTTATTGTTTGTCTAATAAAAAAATTTTCTTACTATGTCGAGTAATAATCATTAATAAAAGAAGAGAAAACTCTCTTTCATCTAAACGAAGACCTCGTAGAGTAGATTCAAATGATCGAAATAAATATTCTGCTTGTGTTAAGTGTGGAACATGTGCATTTAATTCCATTGATAAAGTTGATTCGGCTTGCCAATAATTCCATGTTGGTTGAATATTTTCATATGAAGATTTCATTAATGTTTTTCCAGATAATAATGTGACCATAATAACAGAATTAATAGATGATGATATGATTTCATATTTCTGAGACATATTTATGAAACCTATTCAAATAATAAGGAATTAACAATAAATTTTTCAAAAAAGACAGAAACTTAAAAGATTAATCTGTTCACTTTCACTGTATATTTTGTACAAGAGAATAGACAATTTACAATGATTTGAAAATATTAACAGAAGAAGAACAACATCATCAACACGACAAAACAAGACAAAGCAAGAAAAATAAAATAAACCAGCGAATAGTGATGATGATGATTTGTGTTACCCGGTATTGTTCTTTGACAAAAATTCATAAGTGCTTGAGCATAAATAGTCATTTGTGATGCCATTGTTGACCAGACTGTTTCGCGTGGAATACATCGAGGTAAATCCTGTAGATAAGTAAAGAAAAAATAAAACGATTTTATGAAAGACAATCGAATTATCTCTGTTTTTCCAAGAACAAAAGAAAAATTATTGTGAAAAAAATACTTTTAAATAGATAAGATAAGAAGTATAAGCTTTTTCAATAAATTCTTTTATTGTTGGTGAAAGTTCAATATCGATTTCATTTTTTGGTGCAAATACTAAAAAATAAAATAATTTTAAAAATTTCTTCTTGGAAATTATTTTTCTTACTTTTTCCTGTTTTAGTTTTAGTCTTTCGTTTTTTAGCCATTGATGCAATACGAGCTGAATCTATCACAGTTGCCATTGTTGTTGATTTATTTTGTAATTGTCGAATACTATTTAATCAATATTCAAAATTTATTATGCTTGTTTCCATCTAAATTTACCTTTCTTTAAAAAGATTCGATTGTCGACCAATACGAGATGCTAAAATTAATTTAGAAGTCTTTGAATTTAAATAGAAAAAGAAAAATTATATGAGGAACAAAATATTTGGTCAGTAAAATACATGATATAATCAGTAAGTTAAATAATTATAAAAGTAAGTAAATTGAATGAATGATCAGTAAATAATTACTCAAATCGTCGCTTAGTGATGAATCAGATTAGCTAATATATTTAAGAATCAGCTAATAAAATTTACTGACAGCCAATCAAATCAAAAGGTAAGTATAGAAATTGAAGTGCACTATATTTTGATTTACTTTTCTTTGTTTCTTTGTATGATTTAGTAGAGATGCCACGTATGAAATACATTTGATCAATCTTTGCTTCTATCGTTTCCTCTGACTTCAGCTTAGAGCCCACGGGTAAAAAAGATGAAAGTAGTATAATTTGCTCAATGTGAAATTGGTGCATGAGATGAAGAGATAGCAAAAGAAAATAGATCAAAATATTGGAGCATCAAGGCTGCAATGGATAATATGAATGGAGCAGAAGTATCAATTGTAAACTAATGGCCGAAACATCGTACGAATTGAGAACAGTTTTTTTATATATGTAATAATGTCAAACGTCATGGACCTTAACGCAGAGCAAGTATTGATCTGTTATATCACTTAGACAGTGAAAATAGTTACTATTTATAAAACTGAAGCTGAATATGATGATCATAAAAGTGTGTGCAAATTCACATCCACATTCACTTTCAATTTTATATGAATCAAAAAACTCTGCTCACAATATCTATATTTTTCACTGATCAAATCGTTGATTTTATTCGTATAAAATATACTTTTTTTTACTGCTCATTATATACAATAAACTGGCCGTTTTGTAACTAAATACTGATAATTCAATTACTGACCATCGAATCTTTATACTGTTGATTTATATATTTTTCTACTGACTGGCTATTCAGCCTACTTTACTGACCACTTAAGTCATAGTCAAATATATATGTATATATGACTAACCGTTCATAGACATGCCAGCTTCAATACATTTTCGAAATCTACATGCTCTGCATGTTATTTTCGATGTTGAAATTATTTCACAATTATTATTTTCAGTACAGTGATATCGTTCAGGAGCATTTTCTTTTATTGATCGACGAAAAAAACCCTTTAAAATTTATTTAATAAAAGAAATTTTTTCTTCAAATATTTTTTTTTGCCTTACTTTACAAGCTTCACATGTAACAGTACCAAAATGAATACCTGATGCTGATGCATTACAAATAAGACATGGTAATTTTTTATATAAATCTTCTGTCTTTGATCCAATTGATTCTTGAATTATTTTTATAAGACAATGAAATAAATATAGAAAAAGAAAATTTACCATGAGCTTTCATTCCAGCAGAAATACATTTTTGAAATCTACAATATTGACATTGGGTTCGGGAACGTTTTGTTATTGAACATCTGAAATCTCTTGGACATTTATATTGTTTCTTTCCAACACATGTTGAAATTGAACGTAAAAAAAATTTCTAAAATTATTATTTTTATTACCTTCGTAAAACACCAAAATATTCAATTCAAATTTATTTTACTTTGCATGCTTCACATGTTATTGCTCTAGAAAAACAAAAAATAATCGAACATAAAAATGAAATAAATCAATATAATTAACTAACCCGCAATGCCATCCAGATGCTAGATCGCCACAAACTTGGCAATGTTCATCTTCATTCAAATCATTTGATAAAATATTTAGAGAATTTTTCGTTGTTCCTTGTTCTTTATTATCATTATTATTTTTAATAATTATTTCTTGATGGACATCGAGTGCATAAACATATCGGGAACGATGATCATTATAATGGACAGATGAGGAATGTGCATTCATCACCGCTGACGTGACTGCATGAGAAAAATATGAAATGATATATTTTTCTGTTAACTAATTTTTCAATTCAATACTTTCGATATAAACTCTTTTCCGAAATAGAAGACTCCAGGTATTTTACTATGTTCAGGCATATAAAGTCTTCAGAGCGTCTTCTATTCCATCTCATTTAATTTCACAATTCTTAATTAAAAGAGTTCTTTTGAAAAACATTTTTCGATTTTCACAATACACAACAAGATTTTTTGAAGATTGTAAAAGGTCAGAAATAATATTGACTCTAGCCTTTTAAGATTCGCTGCTCAAAACCTTGAAAAATAAGCATATTCTTATGTAGATATACTAATTAAAGTTTGAAATATTCGAGAAACCAATTAAACAAAGGAGTCTTCAAACATATCATGTGATGCAGCTAGGAAGTCAACGTAGATTTTTCTTCCGACGGAAATGCCCCAACGTAGAAAACAAATCTCATAACGTTAGAACCTCATTCGACAGTTGAGTGCTGCCTCTGCTACCAATTAAAATTTTATAACAAACGGTCTTAGTTTGTCTAATTTATGAAATAATCTTTGGATAATCTCTACATGAGAGTTGATGGAAATCGTCGAAAAGTGACCGTTATCTCTGAACAGTTTTCATCAAATACCTTCGAATTTTCTTCACTGAGTGTCTTGCTCTAATCAAGTTTTCCGTGAAAATTTCACGATCACAGCTGTCGGTAGAGAAAAGATCTATACTGAGATCGTCCCAGACAATGAAGATTTCTCCGGATCTCAACATTACAGCAGACTAGAGTGCTCTTCTGTGACAAAATATGGACATATGAATCTTTACTTGTAAATAAGGAAATGGATTTTAATACATTTAAATAACAGAAAATCAGAGAAGTGTCAAAAAAAGCCATTTTTGAGTCCTAGAAGTCGTTGCATGATAGGGACGACCAATCGTGCTCAATTAATATCACCGATTTCAATGAAACTTTGCACATGTGTAGTCCCAAATGAGATATGATAGCGCCAAAACTTTTTTCTTCCAAAACCGTTCTCTTGTTGAGATATTGAAATCACAATAGAAGTAATCTCAGGTTAAAAATGAAGACAATCAATGAAATACCCATTCATTGAATATTTCGCCATCTTTCAACAACAATGCTTTTAGCCATGATATTTTGTGCATATATATACTAACACAGGTACCATACATACTGACAGACTCAAAACCACTTTTCGAAGTCTTAGGCACAGTATAGAGATATTCCATAGATCCTAGATATAGCCTCTACCCTGTGTCAAAGATTTCTATCGCTTATGAGCTGCTGCTTTGAAATTAAGTACTACTGATCTCTAGCTATTAGCAGGAATTTTCAAAACTTTTGATTTTTATTTTTGACTCGAGCAAAAAATTTTTCTGGTGTATATATGAGCTAATTTGGGTAAAAATTCGGTTCACTTCTAAAAAATAGCTGCCTAGGAGAGGTCGTCAGATTTTGCTCCACTTAAGACATGTTGTAGAAGGAAGAGTTTTAAGAATGTTTACCCAAACCGTTTGAATAGAAAATATCGTTCCGTTCTCGAGATATAAAAAGTTTTCGTAGGAGCATTATGGCCAAAAAAGCACCGTTTTGGTGTATCTTGTGAGATTCATATCTCAGCGAAAATACATTCATTTGATTTGAATTTTTGTACCATGCATATATCTCAGGTTGATGTGCTTATCATGAAAAAATTAGTTTGAAATGAATGATCTATTGATGAGTTGAGCTGTACTACCAAGTATACTACAAAATGGCCATTTATCTGTGTTTTGCGCATATACAGATCTCATGAATGGATCTCGTTAGGGAGCTGAAATTTTGACTATAGAGAGGCTTTATTGAGTACCTACTCCGGTACAAAATTCAGCTCTTTAGATAGTTCCTATAGCTTAGAAGAGTTTTCACAAAAGCATGATTTTGACCAAAATCAGGACTTTGTGAGGTTTCAATCTTCCAAGAAATGGGATCTATAGAAGTCGACTTATGTAGTTTTAAAGTACTCACTGAGTATTACAAAGTTATGCAAGAATTGGCATAAGATCCAGTAGACTGATCTGCAGAGCCTTGTTGAAAAATATACAAAAATGACCCATTTTTCATAAATGACGAAATATACAATGAATGGATGTTGCATTGGTTTCTTCATTTTTTACCTGAGAGTCCTTCTATTGTAATTTCAATATCTCAACAAGAGAACGGTTTTAAAAGAAAAAATTTTTGGCGTTTTCATATCTCACTCGAAACTACACATGTGCAAAGTTTTATTGAAATCAGTGGTATTAATTGAGCACGATTGGTCGTCCCTATCGTGCAGCAACTCGTAGGGAAAAACTAGTGTCTTCATCGTAAATCCTTTGCATTAAGACCAATCGGCTTCGACTTATTACTTGCAATCAAAGTTTATTGGACTATTTTTCTAGTCAAAATATCAGGCAAACGGATTGAAGTTTATATACTTTTTATCTGATAGCAGAATTTCTAATGACTACAGTACACAGTCACATAAATACAGAAAGAAATAATTTTAAGATTATTAGAATAACATTTGTCTCACTATTTTTTTCAAATTGACACATGATAATATTCTTTCGTTTTCTCTTGAATATTTATATGCCAAGTGCAACATATGAAACAATGACTTTTCGAATGCATTTTGTTCATATATTCATTCGATAGATCTATTCATATTTATATAACAAAAAAAAGAATTCTTTTTGTCATCATTAAAAGACAAAAGCATCTTTTTTTTGGACTATATTTTGTCATGAATTAAAATTCATTCTATTTGATCGGTAAAGAATTCCGAATTTCTGGACGTCAAGTCTATTCTTGTATAGTTACAAAAAAAATGCATTATAGCAATCTAAATCGTTCATATTTTCCAAATTGAACAAAAAAGGAAATAGAACAGTATGACATCTAATGCAATAATGAACAAATATGAAAATAAAAATTAGACTTACGATGAAAACTATCTTTATCTTCATCAATATTTGCATCTTGTTGATCATTAATAATCATCATTGATGGAAAATTATTATTTTTAAAACGCATCATATCTAATGATGTAGATGAAGACATTTTTGTTGCATCATCTTCATTCAATTCTTGATGATTGTGATTGAATCCAAACGATGAAGAAGGAACGATTGATAGAGAATTATTTGTAGTGATCATAGTTTTCTTTCTTTCGAAATACGCAAAAAAAAGAAGAAAAGTGTGACTTATTTAGGATGCTGCGACTAACAGTAAAGAGATATTTATTTAGAGCAGAATGGAGAGAAAAAAATTATGTTTGAACTTTCTAATTCAAATATATTTGCTATTATTTATATGGCTATTGGTGTTAGAAGTCATTAGAAAAGTCAATAGAAGAAAAAAAAAGAAAGAAAAAGCAAATAAAATCCATCGACTACAGACTATGTTTATACTTGTCGAGAAAGATGAAAGACACTTCGAGAAATTGCTCAGGTGTATTAACTTGATATAGATAGGACAAATTGTTTGACTCTTTATAGAGTGTCTTTTCAAGCAGATTACGCAATTCAGAATTAAAAAGAAAATTAAGTGAATATTTCATAATTCGATTGTTCTGTATTATTGTTCAAAAAATTGAATTTTAATTTCATATACAAATGTCATCTTAGATTTAAAAATAAATTTATTTCTATTTATTAAATATTTTCAACTAGAAAACTTTCATTTGGTATTAATTATTTCTACAAAAATGAAAAAAAAGTTTCTACATTAAATATCATATCGACTCATATCTAAACACCATAATGATGAATAATAGAAATAACACGTTTTACTTATATTGATTTAAATATTTTATACAATTTGTTTCATTGTCAAAAATCTATGATAGGCGCGAAAGTATATACGATACTCCTCAATCAATAGGAGTGTTACAAAATACTCAAAGAATAAAATCTATACGATGACATGAAAAAACGTTTTTCCATAAATGATTATTCATGAAATTGTTTTTTCGGTTTTTTTTCTTGATGTTTGCAACACAATTTCGATTTTCTTCCAAGTAAGTAAAGAGAAAAAAGTAAAATTGAAACAAATTACATGGTTACTCTTGTTAATATAGTTGAATCAAAATTTCATTATTTATTTGAGAGATAAATACGAATAAGATCATTTTGATTCTTATACTAATTCAAATGGAGTTGCGAATACTAATATCAATTACAGTGAGCATTATATCATCAATGAGAGAATCAAATTCAGAAAATCTTTAAAGAACTAATATTTTTTATTGTCTTCAATGTTTTATTCATTTACGCAAATTTTCTTTTTGTCTCTTATGTTTTTGGGCATGTTTATTACTTTATTAATAATTGGAACTGTTATTTATATTGTTTATCCAAATAAATATTCAATGAATCATTATTTTCCAATTAGTTTTATAATTGTCGATATTATCTCAAGTATTATTTTGATTTTTCCTATGTTTTTTTAGTTTAATATTATATAGAACAACTTGATGTAATTTTTTATGTTTTTCTCGTGGATTTTTGTATGTCTATTGATCAGTAACCTGAAACTAAAAGACAAAAAATAGTATTCTGTGACATAGATATGTTTTCTGCAGTAATGTTGACTATTCCAATATTTTTTTTTATTATTTGCTTTGACTTGATCTATTTGATTAAATATTCATAATTGATATTGATTCAATTGGATTTCCCAATACTTACTTATTATAATCATATTCTATATTTGTGTGGATTCTGGCCAATTATTATTAAATACATTTTTACCTTTATTATCTGTCGCCGACTAAGCTGTTATGTGTGTAATTCTATTCACAGAATAATTGATCAAGTACGATCAGATAGAAACATTTCAATTTATTAATCTATCTGTAAGGTGCTGGAAAAAAAATTTGACCACAACGTATTTGATTCTTTCTCTATGATAATGATATTCAGCAATTAGTTCAAATCTTGATAGTGAATTTAATAGTCATTGGAGTTTTCTCTATTGCATACTATACTAGATGAAATATGATGGCAAGATTTCTAGAAAACTGAACACAGTAGTTTTCAGAACCTAGAACACTATTTTTTAACAATGGTGTTTTAAAGAATACAAAATTCTGAAGAAAATTGCGAGTAACTACATTTCCTATGAATCTCTCTTAAGACATTAAAAGTATCACAAAAACTGAAATGTATCAAAAAACCGACCAGAAAAAAAAAAAAGCTTTTTTTCGATTTTTGTGATACGTTTAACTTCTTAAAGAAAGGTTAAAGGAAATGTGGCAGCGTTTCGTTTTCTTCAGAATTTGGTGCTCTTTAAAAAGCCATTGTTAAAAAAAAATATTCTTGGTCCTGAAAACTACCGTATTTACTTTTGTGGAGATTGCGCCATCATAGTTCATTTATTATAGAATGCATTATATAGAAAAATCTATTGGCTATTAAACTCATTATCAGGATTTTAGCTAGGTGCTTAACATTACAGAAAAAAAGATAAAAAATACTTTGTAGTTAAACATTTTTCCACCACTTTATATATATCTATGGATATTATCAAAAAAAAGAATATTTATTTTTTCTTTAGAAGAATCCCCGAAAAGTTTGTATTGGTTGTAGAAAGAGAACTACTAGAGTAATTATTACAAATGTTTTACTAATATAAACAATATTAGTAATATTCAACATATTTCAATGTTTTATTTAACAACGAAAGAAAACAAGAAATAATAATTAAAAATGAACTTTCTTTTTCTTTTTTTTCGGTGGTTTTTTCATATGATCATCATCGTCATCATCATCATCATCAGTATCACTATTATCACTAGATCCTTGTTGTTGATCATCAAATTCTGTTTGTTCATTAAATTCTAAATCAGCAAAAAACGAATTATTTTGTCTTTTTCCACCTTTCTTTTTCTTGTTATTAAACATTATTTTTAATTGTTGAGAATCAATTAATTGTAAAGTTTCTTGTGATGTTGATGTACCAATAAGATAATTCGTATCACATGATGTAGATAATGTTTGAATTGGCATTGAACTTGTACGACCAACAATTGACATTATTCGATGAGGATAAAGATTAAGACAACTAAAAAAACAAATTAATATAATAAACAGAAAAAAGGAACAAATTAGAAAAATAATCGAACCGAATTTTTCCATCTTCACAACCGGTGACAATCAATGATTGATCAAGAGAAGTAAGACATTCAATTCCACCTGGATGCCCAGGAAATCGATCAGACATATTACCAAATTCTTTCCAATTAAAAAAATATAAAACACCTTCCATTGTACTACATACTACTTTCGTTCCATCCTAAACCAAAAAAATATATTTTCTACAATTCAAAAATTTAATTTTAAAAAAATTTCTTATACTTTAACAATCTGACAAGCTGTTAAATCACTATCCATTAATTCTGACTGTATTTGTAACTTTTTCTTTCGAACATTATAAACAGTTAATGTACCTTCGCCACTAAAATATTTCAAAAGTATTTTTCAGAATAAAAAAACGATGTTAATTATATACCTTGTAGTCAGTAATGTTCGTCGATCATTTGCACAAGTCAAATCACTAATATAATCATCACAATCATGAAATTCAGCTAAAGATTTCTTTTGTCTATAATCCCATAACTGTTTTTTTTTTCAAACTTATATTTATTTTAAATAAGAATTTTTTTCTATTCATTTACCTTAACATAACCATCATCATCACCTGTTGCTAATACACAATTATCAACGATACATAAACAATTTATAGGAGAACTGTAAAATCAGAAAATAAATTAAAAAATAAATAAATAAATGAAATCACGTACTTGTGTGCTCGTTTATATTTTGTAATCATCTTTCCGGTTTCTGTTGATCTTAATTTAATTGATTTATCTTTAGAAACGGTTATAATTGATTGACCATCAGGCGTTAATCCAATCGCACGAACCGATCTTTTATGAACTTTCATTGAACGTTCATTTGACATAGATCGTTCATTTTCATCGTCATTTATCTTTATCCTATCAATAAAAAACAAAACAAAAAAGACTTAAAAAAAAATTAAAACTTTTCTCAGACCAGTGCAGATGTCCAGAAATTGCGCCGGCTAAGAAAAGATTTCGTGTAATAGGACAAAATCGAGAACACATGATTTCCGTTGGAAATTCAATTTCTGGACCATCATCAAATAATGATGTTGAAACCATAATGAAAAGAGATGTTTTAATGAATAAAAAGATCACTTTTACTTGTTCCAGCAATTATATAATTATTGGATAAAAGACTAAACTAGTCAAACCAAATAAAGCTACCTTTCTTTCTTTCTTGATTGAATTGAGCGTATGAGCAGATGTCGCTAACTGATGACAACTTATCACTTATGAAAGTTTGATCTAGAAATTCTCTTTCGACTAAAACACTAAATTTTTCATCTATTACAACAAATATTTCTAAACTGACGTGGGAACCTCTTCAAGTGTAAAATTGCATTCTGACCGAGACGGTGTTCATTTGGCGAGTACTTGTGAGTAATAGAAAAATGTAGAATGATTTGGTGATTCGAGCTGTTGCTCTCCAAATATAGAAACTTTACTGAGTTTTTCAACAAAAAGTTGTGATCCCCACAGATCACGTGAAAAATCGACTTCCTACTTCAGTCTTTATACGACCAAAGTTTTTGCTGAGATTAGTTGGTTGTGCTAGTTTTAAATTTTCTAGTATTTTCTTTATCGAGATGTAAATGCATATATGAACAAAACTTTGCTTTTACACATGAGAAAACCTCGAATACTGAATACTTGAGTATAGTAGATACTAGTAATGTTACAATTTGCTGAATAAATTAATCTCATTGAGAACTTTGTTCGTACAAAGTTTGAAGTCGAAAATCGATTTTCCATATTACCTGAGAAGGAGCACAGCTTTTTTTTCAAAAACCCAGTAAAATATCGATATCTTACGAACGAAAGTCCGGAAAAGCAAACTATTCTAGATTTTTCTATTACTCACAATTATTCGTTAAAGAAATATCGTCTCAGTCGAAAAAAGATTTAACATCAGGCACGGTTCTTCAGTGAGCTGTCCGAATATTTTTTGTTCTATTTTTGAGAAAAGCACTTCCGAGTTCAAGAAACTTCCGCTCTGTTTTTGGGTATGGCACTTCCAGTCGGAGAAAAAAAAACATTTTTCTGTAACTGAAACGTCATTCTTAAGACAGAACAAAAGTTTTCACACAACTCAGTTCCAGGAACAGAACTGTTAGAACGGATCAGTTCTGATAGGATCTGATTTGTAGTAATAGTTCTTTCACTCATTTGATTGAAACTTTAAACTGAACTCTGGCCGACACCTAGTATTCATCTTCAAGTTTAGGATGTCCATTGTTCAATTCGACTCTTTTTTGTGGAAAAAAATGATTAACTTAATATCGCTTTATATATTGCTGAAGTTATTTTGTAGATTTTTTTTAACATTATTGTAGTGTAATACGAATAATCCGAGTTTTCTGTTGAGGCATTTAACATGAAAATCGAATAAACCTATATTTCTATTGTAAGATAAAACGAATATTAAATTTAGATACAAGAGATTCTCAAATACAAAAAACAAATGTATCTCTAGTACCGACAAGGTAGATTATCATTTGAAATAAATACAAAAAAGTATCATGCTGGTTATACAGATAACAATAAAACGTTTTTTTTTTTTGTACATGCTTTTCACTACCTCTTACGCTTTTATAATACATAACAGCGAAAAATAGCAAGCAATAAACAATAACAAATCCCGTATTGATAAACATAAATAAATAAGCTTGATTAATAATTGCAAAGGTAAAATAAAATCAATATATTCTTAATTAATATAGTTGTTTATTATTCTGTTGCTGTAATGCCAAGAACAACTTTTGTATTAGGACCGTGCGTTTCACCAGAAGTTTTAGCTTCAGTTCGAATAACTGTCGTTGATGTTGATGTTAAAAGTCGATTGGCATCTGCAGTTCCCAAACTAAATTTATTAATTATTTCTTATGAGAATATTCTCTTAAAATAATCTTACGCGGCAACTTGTTGTGTAATTGCATCAACTTTTGCATTTGCCTGTGCTTGAGCATCACGTAAGACACCCATTTTCAAACGATTAGCCTCTTCATTTAAATCATCAATACGTTTTCGAGCTTGTTCAAGAATCATATCTTGACGTATGTTTAAATCTTTTTCAAGTGAAGCTAAATCTTGTGCTTTAGCTGTATCAAGTTCTTCAATAAAATTTTGTAATTTAAATTTATATTCTTCTTCAATAGCAGCTGAACGTGTATTAGCATCAGCTAATAATTTTCCTTGTTGAGCTTGAGTATCAATAACAACTTTTGCAATAGCTGTTGTTACTTCTTCAGATATTTGTTCAGTACGACGACGAGAATATTCATCAATTAGTTGATGTGTTGTACCTAATATGAAATTTATTAAATGAAAAATACAAAAACGATATGAAACTATTTTACCAAGTTTATTCATTAATGTAGCCATTTTTTCTACATTTTCCATAATAACTTTGGACTGTGTTTCAGTACTAACAATTGATTTAACAGCAACATTTTCAGCAATGGCTGTGTGAGCTACAGCTGAACCTGTTGTAGTATTTACTTCATGACCAATAGTTGACATTTTGTTTAATATGAATTAAAAAAGAAAAATTGATAATCTGAAATGAATGAAACATTGCTCGTGTTCTCTTTTATTCCTAAAATTAGTGTTTTATTCAACGTGGAGACAGCACCTCTTCGAAGATCAAATTAGCCCTTACAAAGTTTCTAGTTAATGTGCTAAATACTATATGTCTGTGCTTATAAAAGTATGTGCTCACACTTTCGAGCATTTAAATCGTTCCTCCAAAAGAAAAAACCTGAAATAAAAGGCTCCTTCCTACAGATACGAAATAAAGTACTGCCTAGAAAAGATATGTTAACAGATCCATGAATCAAATAATTGTTAAATACAAACGAATTTTTCAACTTACGCGTATCTGTTTTTATGTGAATAGAATGAAGAGAAAAAAATGAATGTTTATGAATAACGTTCGCCTTTTTGTAGATCATTCTTTTGTTATCTATTTTACAATAGAAACTTAACTCTGTAGTTTCATACATATGAAACACATCTTATCAGACATATTTGTGATGGTAATAATTCACTATGTCTTCTTCTATAATATTTTATATGCATTGCAGAAATAACAATGTCGAAAACAAATCAGAATAACAAGAACATATCGTTGTTTTATTGATTCATAGTAAAATTTCTAATGAACGAATTATTGATGCGTGCTGAAAACAATAACAAATAGTATTCTTCGACAAAAATTAATACCAATAATTTACAAGATCCAACGATATATGTCTTCGTACTAAAGATTCTATTACCACTTGATAAAGAAAGATAAATAGTTAAAATATTTTTTATAGCATTGTCTTCGTGCTTTTATACCGAGAACAATAATCAAATGTATTTTTTTTTCTTTTTTCTGCAACAATAGGATAAGTAATACAGTACATGAAAAAATTTTCATTCTACAAGAATGTAACAAATCGTACTGAATGTTATATTCTTCTCTGTTTTATTAGAGAAAAAATTCCAAAGAAAAAGCTATTCTTTAATGGTTAAGTCTATCAGGAATGTAAAACGAATTATTTGATTCTCTTGTTTTCTTGATTTACTCTTCCAGTTGCGTCATTTGATTATTTATAAAAAAATAATAAATATTCATTTTGATCTTTTTTCTCCAAGATCAATATTGTCTGTTGAAAATATTCTTTATCAAGTAAAATCATTTCCATTAATTGTTCTCTCTTTCTTTCTTTCAGTTTCGATATTAACGGCCTAGTCATATATAGACATAGAAAGAAGAGGAAAAGAAGTACATCGACGTGCTGCTTTTTCATTCTTCTCTCAAAAGGAAAAAATAGTCGAGTGGGCATAGTCAACATTCATTCATTCATTTGTATTTCAATGTTGCAAGATAAAGTATAAGACAGAACAATTATTTAATATGTGAATGTATATATCCCAATGATGTTTACTATTAAACCCAGCTCTCTGTGGCAAAGCCGTTGATGATAATTGCATGTTGCAATGCATTGCTGAGGGATAAAAAAAAATATATATATTTGAAATTTTCTTTTTAATATAAATCAAAATAAAATAATAGATCTTGTTCGTTCTTATTTCATGATGAATTTTGTTTTTTTTAAAGTGTACTTATGAATAGATACAAGCACATCATAGAAAAAAAAAGAAGAAAAGAAATTATTCGAAGAAGAAAAAAAAGAGATCATTTCGAGTTTTGAACACACTCGAACAACATCGATACAACGAAAAAAAAAAAGAAGACTTCTGCTCATCAAGCATTTCTCTGTTCGTTTGTACACATCATAAATTATTCTTTCCTAATTTCATTTTATATATCCGTTGCACGAAAACGTGCTGCTTGCTCTCGAACTCCTACAAAAAAAAAATTATAATTAAAATAAAATTTTTATTGAAAGAATAAAATATTTTCTTACGTTTTTCATATTCAACTTTATCTTGCATATAAATAGCATAAGCTTCAGCTTGTGCTGGATCTTTTGGATTTGGTTCATTTAATAATTCTTGTATACCAAGTAGAATTTGTTTTATTGTTATTGCTGGACGCCAATCTTTTTCTTCATCAAGTAATGATAAACATACTGTTCCACTCTATTTTATTAATAAAATAAAAATTTATTTCTTTTTCTAAAATTTACTTACGGGATAAATATTTGGATGAAATAAAGGTGGTTCAAATTTACATTTTGGTGGTGTTGATGGATAATCATCTTTAAATATCATACCTAAATTAAATCAAACATTAAAATTGTTTCATTCAATGTAATAAACTTACGTAATTTATATAAACCACCTTCCCATGGTGTACCGGGTTTGCCTAATCAAGAAAAAATATTTTAAAATTTAAAGAAACATTTTTTAGATTTTTTTTGTATACCTGGAATACCACATTCCCAATTGAGAAGATTCAGGGTTCCATCTGCATTTTTGGATGGTCTCTAAAGAGAAAACTAGTATTTAAAAATGAAAAGAATTTCTGACTTACAGCAATAAAACCAAATGGATGATCTCGTCTCCATGCTTTTCGTTCTTCTGTAAGACGTGCTGCTGAAATTCCGGCCATTGTTTCTTTTTTAATAATTAATTAGTTCTGAAATAATTAGTTTAATTAAAATCCAAACAAATATTTCCAATCAAAGATAATAATACAAAAAGAAAAAAGAAAAACAAACAGAGGATGTAGATTTAAACCAATTGGAAATTAGATAGTGTCCATTCTCCTCTTTTTATTCCTATAAATCTAAATAATTAATTATTTGAACTGAAATATTTATGCAACTTATGTCAAATAGAATTTGTCAAAATTGATCAAAATGAAATCTTTTTAAATAGATGACGCTAGTCAATATTTATTTGAACTTATCTCGCTTTATAAACCTTTTTACTTTGAAAAGTGACTCGATTAAATATCAATAGATTTTTTTATTTTAAATTTTATTTAATATAAAACTAGAATTAGTAATTGTTTTGTGTAAAGAATATGGATGATGAATCATCTGTTTGAAAAAAATTTCACAATCATTAAAAAGTCATTTGCAATCTTTGTATGTATTCGTTCTCATTCTATTAAAATGTAAACTTTTGTGAAAGTTGCATTTAAGAGTTCGTTAGTATTTCTATCTAGATGATGATTGCCAATTTATTTCTTGATAGAATTCGAAAAAAAAAATAACGTTACATTTAAAATTGATTTATCTTTATTTAGATTTAAAAGCAATGCCAACTTCATGTAATACGCATGATTATGATGGTAAATTACGTCAAAAATGGTTTGAAATGCGTTCAATGTTAATTACAAAGTATCTTCCGAATTGTCTTTCATTTGATAATACAATTAAAGATATCGAACAATGGCTAGACAAAAAATATTTTAATGTTAAACGAATTGGTCGTGCACGTCGTTCTTTAAAAATTCTTATGTCAAGTCGACATAGTAATTTTGACTCACGTAATGAAATTAATGTTGAAGAACTTTTACCGATTCTTTGGGATAAAGTTAAAAATCAAGAAGATATACATGATACTTTCTATGAACAATTATGTGATATTACTGGTGGAAGTTGTTCTCAAGGACGCTCAACTAGACTTTTTCAATTTTTATTTCTTTTCGATTTACCATCAGAACCGCCAAGCACAACATCGAAGACCGAAGAAGAAAAAATAGAATTATCAAATGAACAACAACCAATAGAAAAAGATTTTTCAGCAGCGACGTCAAGCACAACAACGAAAGTCAAAGAAGAAAAAACAGAGATATCGAGTGATCAAGAACCAATAGAAAAAGATCCATCATCACAAGTATCAAGTACAACACTGAAGTTTGAAGAAGAAAAAATGGAAATTTCGACTGAACAAAAATCAATAAAAAAAGATTTATCGTCAGAAACAACACTTGAAGAGAACTCAGTTTCAATATCAGAAGAAAAACAAGAATTACAAGAAAAATCTAAATCTCATGAAGAACAATCACCTAGAAAAGAAGAACGACTACATAAAGATGAACAGTTACATACAGAAGATGAAACAAAAGGAGAACAACAATTAGAAGAAGAGCTACAGCCACAACGAGATAAAAAATCTGATTATACAGAACAAATCAATTCGTCTTCTGACCAAAGAGAATAACGAATATGATTATATTTTTTAGTATGTTTTGCAACGAGCTATTTCATATTATTTTGCCTTACCATTGAAGGTGCCTTTTTCTACTCTCGTCAATATTCTTGTGATAATATTAAAGAAGGATGTTTGTAAATATGAATTTATAGAGAAAAATTTTTTCTTCGGATTGTTAATAACTAACACCATAAGTATTAGCAAAAGTTATCCATAGTATTGAAGAGACCACGATAATTATTTGAAACCGAACACTTATCAAATTAGAATTATGTTGATTGCTTTCACAAAAGCTAATAAGACCTTATTGGCAAGGATAATCGACAAGAAACTCTACAATGACATCAGTGCACTTTATGTCTTTATTATTATGTCAAATCGGTCTAAGGCAAATACTGATCACGATACACGGTAAATAAGTTTGAATAGTTGTATCAGATATATACATTAGATTGAAGTTGTGCGATATGTTCCTACAGATTATATACAAATAAAGTCATTTTAATAATAACATCTATTTCCATAATACGTAATGGTCAATGAAAACAGTATTCTTTTTCAAAGTGAACAACATTTTGTAGTTCGTTGCTGTTATCGGTGAAGTGTTCATGGTTGTAAATGATAAAGTCATCAATATAATTCTGTTCAAAGTCAATAGTGAATAGAATTTCCTTCCCTATTTTACTTAACATGAAGAACTGATTACATTGGCTCAACTCTCTATGCAGATTCTACTACTTGATGCCACAGACCTAATAGATATTGGGTCTTGGTTACATTCTCATGGAGTTTGTTTTAATGATTGAAAGATAAGTATAACGTCGATGAAGAGACCTTGAACTTCCGGTTACTATTTCGTCTATTGTTGATTCTGTGTCTTGTTCTCACAAAAATTTATAAATAAATCTTGAAGAATTTCTCGAACAATAGAAATAAAAGTTTAGTAAAGTTTCCTAAAAAATAATCATGAAAGTTTTCTTTTGGTTTATGTTGGTAACAAATTTTGTACAGTAGATGTCATGAACGAATTATAAAGAAAATGAAAACTACTCTTTCTTCTTAATAAATGTTTCTACTTGACAAAATTCTCTGCTTTTTTTTCTATGTTTTGCATCATTTTGTTGTGTGTGAATGGAAATATTTTTTCCAAATCAACATCTAAAAGAGAAGAATATATTATTACAGTTTTAAATATAGTCAGGTTTAGAGACATATGTGATAAGATGGTTCAAGTAGATTATTAGTATTAACACTCATCTATACTATGTAAGAAAAAGAACATCATTCCTACATGATTCTAATTGTGTCGATAGAAATATATATATAATCCATACATCTTACAAAAAATATTTACTAAAAATAAAAATGAACAAAGAACACCATATTGAAATTACATAAAGAAAATACATTAGTTCTTATCCTACGCAATTTTTTAAATAAAATTCATACAGTATAATGCAAGAGAAGATGCATGTAAATGAGTAAATAAACAAAAATGTAATTATGAGAGATATTGTGTAGAGCAAAGTTGTAATCGGCAATGATTATCGAGTATTGATAAATCTATCGGCTCGAAAGAAGATTCCTGTCGAACTGATTTGAAGCTTCTTGTTTGAATTTTTGTATGTTTTTTTCAAAACTTGATCATAAAGAAAATTTTCTCCGTAATCTAAACTTCTTTTTTTAAAATTGATATTGAAGTCTATTTTTATGAATAAATATGCATAAGACTATTCTATTACGTGAAATTTATTGTAATATCCTTAATATATCTTAACAACTCATTTGAATATTAAGTTATATTATCGAAATCAAACCAAATAATTGTTTACCATTGGAATATATCAAAGACTTATTTGTATTTCCTACTATTTATATATATATAGTATATTTTATATTTTATATTTAAGTAAGAAATATTAAATGAAATATAATGTGTGACACAAATTAAGTGTATTAGTTAATTGATAATGTACACGTGTGACGATGATTTAATAAATTTACAAAGTTCTTATACCATTTGAATGGGCTACCCCTGATTCGTCCCCTTTTTAGTTATTCTAAATTCTCTTCCGTCGTAGAACAGCCCTGAATAGTGTTTACCGAATCCGTCCTCCACTTTATTTCACAGTTGAATTATCATGCTTGTGCCTGTCTATATTAACAAGCCACATGTACACCCATCAAGCAGAAGAAAGTCAAATTGAACTTTGCAAGAGAAGAAATCGAAATGATAATATTGACTGTCTTCTAGAAGATTTGCTCAAACAGTTCTCTGATGGGCAAATTAGTAAGATAGATTTAGCTATTAGATGTGGTGAAACTGTTAAGATTATTTATGTCAAATAATGGCTTGTCTTTTGATATAAACAAAAGTTTTTTCTCTTATAAGTGTATAACTTTTTGCTCTTTCTTATGCTGATAGAAAGAAAAATGTTGATATTTATTTTTTGATATTATGATAAAAATTGTCTTTTTTTAGTCAATAAAACTACAATAGTAATGCATGTATATAAAAATTAAGCACTATTTTAATCAGGAGTTGAATCTAGTGTGGGAATGAATTCGGAAAAAAAGATCATGGTGGACGCATTCGGAAGGTTTTCACAATGGCAAACAAAACAAACGTTGAATTTAGAAACAATTAAGAAACGACGAGTCAATGAGGGACGTCACTTGAGATGAATCAGGGATCAACCTTTTTAATCCTATGAGGCTTTCTGTTTATTGACATATGATCAGAGCAATAAAACAAATGGATACTAACAGTGAATACTAATATAGTAGTAGAACGGAAGTTTTACGACATAACTCTGACGGTTAAAGGCAGATATGATTAGTCCAGAGACTTGATCAGACCTCTTATCGGAGGAGTAAAAGTGCAAAATCGTTCATGGCAAACTACTGAATGGTTCGGTCTAATTTTTAAGACCGACATAAATAATTGAAAACGAAAAAAAATCTCACTAATTAGAACTTTATGATGGATATCAAAAAATAGAAATGCATCTGAGAAAGTTTTAATTGCTAAACAAATGTTGCATAGTATATCAATTGAATCAAATAAATGTTTATTTAGTGTAACTTGTTATACCGATAGAAGTTCACCAATAGAATTTATATATTTTGCTTTTGATGCTTTTACTTTCTTATCATTATTATTATTGAGTATGACACTTGGAAATGTAGATAAGACTTTTATTTTTAAGTCAAAATATTTGATTTTCTTCAATTTACATTGAGAAATCAGATTAACGTATTTTTGTTATGTTTAAAAAGTAATATATAGGTTGGTAGTTGATATTAATTTATTGACGTGCAAACATTTATTCATTTGTCTATTTCCAATAAGAAGGCTTAAGCAGATGCATTATCGTATATGAACAATTTTCGAATGCAAATATTATAACATGTACTGAAAATGAAATAAAATTACGATTTAATAATTGAGCTACTTCATACAAAACTTGCAACATGTTATGAATATTGAATGATTGTTTAAGAAAACGTCATTAGTAAATTTGTTTTTTCTTTTAATTAAATACAATTTAAGAATTATTTCATTATATAAATACATTTGATAATATAAAACAGTTTATGATGTGCGATATGTGAACTAAACGAGGAAACGTTTCTAAATGTCAAATCGTCTTTGAGCCAGGATTCTATGCATCAAGCAGAGTCTAATGCAATATGAATACCCGGGAAAGAGTTCTGTCTAATAGCTTATTATTTCTGAGATACTGTATTTTTATCGTATTTTGGCTCTCTTCGGAACATCTCGGAAATCTACTTTCGAATTTCGACTTGAAAATTTGCATAGAAAGAGGCCTTAACGAAAATAACTTATTATAAAAGTTTTAGATCTTTGATGGCGCCTATTCCGAAATAAGAACATCAGAATTTGGTGCTGAAAATGAGCGGCATAAAAACCATGCTTTTACCATAGCCGTATCTTAGAACAGAAGCAATGAAAAGATCTGAAACGTTTGCAAGAAACTATTTTCACTAAGGCGTATCTCTATGCAAAGTGTCAAGTCGAATTTCGAAATTCAGTTTTCCTTGTGTTTTTGAAGAGAGAGACAACGACATTCTACTAAAAAAGATAGGAAAAATACAGTAGTTCGGTAATAATACTCTATTATCCCAAATTCGTCTCATAGCATTTATAGTTCATCAAAAGTTACGTTTTTCACATAGGCCCGATCTAAACGCTCTAATCAAAGCATTATATATAAGTAATTTTACTCATTGAAACCATTATGATAGATTAATTTATCTTTTACAAATGATTTTAATTTTCAGCAACATTAACTAAAACAAAGATTACATTAGATTTTTTTCGAACGAAAAACTGATGTTTAGACTATCAACATTAATGAAATATCTTATTAATAATTGATATGAAAACTTTTTCGAATTATATCTTCTCTCAATCATCTTCTTGTTTGAATAAGATTTAAATAATTAATGTATCTTATAGATTAGTTGTTCTACTTAGTATAATAATCATTCTACGATAGAATAGAAAGAAAAAAAATATATTATAAATAACAGTAACCGAAATTTATTCATCAAAAGATAACTGAAGTATCTAATATACTCTGTATATTCGAATTGAAAAGTTGTAAAAGAAACCTCGAAAAATAGAAAATATATTTAAATAGTTTCAATGAGTTTTTCTAGTTGTTGTTCTAAGATTTTGATCTTATATGTGCTATATTTTATTTAAATAATACATTTAAAACAACAAATTACAATCTTGACCGAAAATATAATACTGTCATATCGACTTGATTGAAACCATCAACAAATCCGTCTTGTCCACAGATGTTGCCATCAGATTCACTTGGCTCATTAACATATTGTTGTCAAACTATTATTCAAACTACCAGTGTGTACCTATCTTCTGGAACAATCATCGCCTAATCCAAGATTTGTATTTAAGCTAAGTCGAACTTTATAACCGTTAATGTTAGTATTAGCTACAAATATATGCGTGATAAATTCAGAAAAAAAAATTTAGCGTTATTAATGGTCTAAATGACCACAAAATCCTCTTAAGAATTAAAAAATCTGGTTGTCTTTTTCAATTTATTTGATTTTATATGTACTAAAGACGACCGTTGAAGTCATATGATGAATATGAAAATGTCACAAAATCAGGCAATGTTTGTATTGTATTTATATAATTGTTTCTTGACTTCTATATTGATCAATATAATAAGATAGAAAATTATCAAGTAATTATTATTGATATCGTGTTTTTAAAATAATCACTATTCCTGTTTTCATGGATTTCTTGTTGTACAACAAAAGAAAAAAGATTATTTAGTCAAAGATAAGTGCAAAAGTAAAAATAGACATGCTTCGAGGTTAGTGTGCAGAAATTAGTGCGTGATCGGTCGTAGTTCATTGAAATCTATCTTTATATCTTAGGCATAAAACAAATATTTGACCATAGCTTGATTAAAAAAATGTTAAGTTTGTTAATGTTCAATGTTCTATTGTATTAATTGTATTATAATTCTCTATAGTATATATACTATATTATAATAGGTGTTGATTCCTTTTTTCTATACTTGTAATCAATGATTACTCACCAATCATGACGTGTCACTATTCAGTATTTGTTACTCAATGATTTAAATGAAATATCAAATGTATTTCCAATGATTTCCTAGAATACATTCATTTGTAGGTGTTTTCTTTTTATATATTCATTCTTTCCTAAGTATAAAAATCAATATGTGAAGTTCATCCGATAGAAATATATTTTATTCAATAAAATTTGTTTGGTTCAATGATTAACCTGATAATAATTGTAGTTCATTTTATTAATAGTCAACGAAGCAATGAACATACCTTGACACGCACTTCCGAAGGCAATTATAAGTTTCCTCGTCATTCATTTAGTACATTTCATCAATACTTGACATTTATATTAAGATCTTTGAATATTTATTTATTAAAATCTTCGTATTTTATTGTATCTAATATTCAATAGATAAATTTCAACAAACAGAATAAATATTTAATAAGTAAAGAGTTTTAGTTCCTGTATTTTCTTTTGTTAATTTATCTTACCTTATTCTTTTTGTGTATTAATGTGCATAAAACAGAACGCATGGCACTATTACAATTCACTGATGGATTGAAAAAAACGAGGGAGATGAGTTTTTTTTTTGTATTCATTTCTCTTTCTCTTTACTCTATCAGTATTACGTCAAGCGTCCATAGAGAAACAATAATCGCTGTATGTATGTATATATGTATGTATGGGAGAAAGTAAAAATGGCATTGTGATTGTAAAACGTTTATTTCATCTCATTCTTGTTCTTCTTTTTCTTTGATATTTTTTATCAAAAAAAGAAAAAAGATAGTAATTGTCAAAATTTGTTTTCATGTTAATGCCAAATAGACCAATAGTTGTAGTAGTAAGTGCTTGTTGAAGAAAAAATTCTAAAATAAGAATAATGTATATAAATCTATAGATATTGTTATGGAATTGCCAAAATTCAATGTTTTATTCTCATCTTCACGAAGATAGTGTTGTTGAAAGAAATAGTTCGACAACTCCACCAGAGAATTTTTATTCGAAAACATTTATTGAATCATCAACAATAGAACAAACAAATGTTTCTAATTATCAAATTTTTACTTCGAACGATACAACAATATCGTTTTTTTCTACAATCACTGTCTTCATTACTGAAGGTAAAATGTTTTTGTATTTTGTTTTTCTTCAACTATTGTGTACCCCCAATTTCAATAACTGATAAAATAGTTTCATCTTTCTGAAACATCTAATAAAGAAAGAGAAATGATAACTATTCCTATATTTTTTTTTCCTACCTATACTTTAATAATGAAATAAGAATGGCTATCGGTGGTGAGATGAACTTTCATTTTAAATCTTTCCATTATTTTAATTAATTTATTTAGTACCACTATTATTTTCCATCATATCATTAACTATTCGAACATCTCGAATCGAACAACAAGAATATTTCTATTCAGTGGACATACTAATAAATAATACATGTTCATCAAAACGAGAACCAAATGTAACATTAATTTTTCAATCATCATCATTTAATGAAACAAAACGATGTTTATTTCCACCTAAACATCATGGATTAATGACATGTGAAAATTTCACTTATGGTATGATTAATTATTGAATAGAATATTATTTTAAACTTTTTTTCTTTTTGTTATACAGGTGTTCGTTATACAGTCGATGGATATCTTTTATGTGGTACACGAAATGTTACTTTGTCAACAAGAAAAGAACTTTATGGTAACGAAAAGAAAAAAAAACATTTTCATTTCATAAAAATATTAATTAATTTGTATTAAAATTTGTTAGAATTAATAAAACCAAAATATTTGAATTCAACAAATAGTCCAACATCAATTGATACGTTATTTTTCTTACCTGGTTTATTTTATCGATTAGTTATTGAATTAACAAGTGTTAATCAAACATGTTCAATTGAATATTCATCGATTTATTCACCTTTTTATCATTGTTTATTTAAAAATTTAAATCCTGCTCAATGGTTTGTTTTAACTTATTATTTATCAACAGATAATGATCAAGCAACATCAGGTGATGTAACTATTGTTTATACTGGTATGAAAGAAAGAAATTATTAAGAAAAAAAAACACACACGAATTGTCATTTTCTTAAGAATTGGAAGACTTTTATTTTCGATGTGAACTTAACAAAAATAATCAACAAATTGATTTTTATTGGGCAAATCTAATCGCTTCTGGTTATGAAAATTTAACAATTTTTATATTAACCGAAGAATATAAACAATTATGGATTATTTCATGTGATCCATATACATCAAAAAGTATTTGTTCGACAAAACCATATAGTTTAGAATCAGGTAGAGAATATCATATAACAGCTAAATTAAAAAAAGTATTACCGAATTATAATGGTCAGAAAACTGGAACATGTTCTATTAAAACAAGTAATTAATAAATTAAATTTTTTAGAAAAACTAAAATGAATGTTTCTATAGATCTTAGTCAAATACCGATGAATTCTATTCGACATGAATTTTTAAATGAAACAGTTGTTCGATTAACTTGGCTTAATCATCCATTTCATGTTCAAGTTCGATTAAGAAATCTTGAAACAAATATATTAGAAAATCCTATAGAAAATAATCAGAGAACTGCCTTATTCATTCATTTAACTGAAGCGAGTATTTATCAATTAGAATTTAATATTTCGAAAATTCATTGGTCATCATTGATTCAAATTACGGATTATTATATTCAAACAGGTTAAAATTTTCATTTCTACTTTCTATAAAAAAAAAAAACAAAAACAAAATAACGAATGATCAGAAAATAGACAAGATGTTCGTTCACTTTTGACCTAACTAGAAAGTATTTCCGACGAATCTCAAGCTATGAATTAGAATGCTCTTTTTGAATATGAACTTAGAAAAATTGTCTTTGTTTAAAATTCGAGCGTAATGAAATAGTCTTTGAAAAGCCCAAAAAATTAGTATGGATGAAACTTTTTTCTGTGCATTTTTGTATTTTCACTATTGCAATTCGATACTAATAGTTGGGATCTTTATTTATATATCAATTTGTAAACTAGAAACTATCCTAAAAAATACACTATTTCAAGCTCTTTTTTTGTCTTTCAACAAGGCATTTCAATTTTCGTTTTTGCTGAATATTCATTTTGAAACATCAACAATCATTTTGTGTTGAAATGAGCTATTGAAAAAATATTCGTAGCCTTACTTAGATAAAAGTTACAGTTTATGAGAGTACCGTCTTCAGCTATCTTATTTCAATTTCAACGAATCTTTGCTTATTGACACAACATAGTATTCTAAGAGAAATAAAAAAAAAAAGGATTTCGATTCCTATTGAGATTTGACTAAGCTATTGAGTTTTTAATACGTGCATTTTCTAGAAGTTCCAAATTTTCGGAAAATTCGAATTTCGATTTGAGACTGTGTGCGTATAGAGAATTTAACTAAACTAATTTTCTTTAAAAATTTTGAAATTTTGAATTAAATCTTTTCGAGATAAGAGACTTTCAAAATATATACTATTTTCCATGGATACTGTATACAATATGCATTCTTTGAAAGCTTTATATCTTGAAAAGACTTACAAGGAAACGTCCCCAGGTGTCGGAATGCTTTTCAGTCGGAGTTTCGTACATCTTGTAACCCTTAGTGAACTATGTCTACCATAAAAAAGTTCGGGCTTTTGGCGTTTTTCTACCGATATATCGAGTTTTTAGTAAATTTTCTCTATAGTGCCCCACTTTTGCAGCAAAGCAATATTCTTGAATTTTGACCTGAGACTTGGTTTACAGAAAAGCTTACCTAGGCTAGCTTGTATAAAAAATTTCAGAACTTTTGGACAGAGTCTCTCCAAGATACGAAGCTTTCAAAAAAAATGTATGATGTATATATTATTTCTGAAAAAGGATCTGTACCTTGATAGTTCCATGTCTCGAAGAGACTTGGTCCAAGAGTTTTGAAATTTTTTATGCAAGTTAGCCTAGCTGAGGCCTTTTGGTAGGCAAAGTTTCAGATCAAAATTTTAAAATGTAGCTTTGCTGCAAAAGTGCAGCTCTATAAAGAAATTTCACCAAAAAACTTCATATCTCGGCAGGAACACAACAGACACACGAACTTTTTTAATGGCAGGCATAGTTCACTAAGAGCTGCCATATGCACTAAACCCCGACTGAAAAGTATTCCGACACCTGGGAATGTTTCCTCGTTAGAGGTGGACAATAATCAAATACTCGATTCGCAGTGCTGTAAAATATTTGCCAACTGAATGTCAGTGACAAGATAATAGTGACATCGATTTTCTTGATCAATGAGACAAGTGGAATTAGATTCGATGAAGAACTTTTCTCTCTCACGAAATTTGTTGGACAAAAAATTTATTGAATTGCTTGAGAAGCAATGAATCGTTTTGATCCAGTTGAGTTTATATGTCTTCTCAAGTGAATTGAAATAGAACTTGTAAGAACTATGTCGCCAGGATAATGTTATATAAATCTTGCGAATCCAGCGTTGATTCTTTCCCTGATACGTTGTTGTCTCAGAAGATCAGCAAGATGGTTGTGGATTTTTATTTCTCTCATTCATTTCCAGTCACATCTACATCCACCCACACTCTAAGTTGTTCACGAAAGTGTTAAATTTGTCGAAGTTCAGCAGGTTGATAAAAAAGTAGCGCGAGAATGAACAACTCATCCTTCGTATTCATCGTTCGATCTATTCAACTAGATAATTCCTGTTTTATTTCTCATTCTTAGTTCACTCTCATCTTGAAGAATAGAAACTGCATCTAGACGTCGATCTCATTTCACTGAATTACCTTGAATTTTCTTTTTGAAATAAAAGAAAACAAAACTTTTTACTGCTTGGATAGAGATAAACAGTGTCATGAGTTACCTATGTTAAATGTCAATAAGTTTCTTATCAATGACAGACATTTATCAGTAGATGGACAATGAAATAATATCCATTGTGGGAATATTAACTAGAATAAAAAGGTATGATTGAGGACAAAAAATATAACCAAAACAAGCAAAATGAATTCATCATTTACAGATTGTTGTGTCCGCTATGGACAAGAATGTGTCTATACTAAATTTTCACAAGGCAATATGACTCTCGGTGAAATCTATATGACTCTCATATATGGTCTTATCGATCCAGCATGCTTACCTTCCATGGCTGTCATTTATCATGATAATAAAGTATGGTGTACAGATACACGTAGATTAACATTAGCAAAAGAATTAGAAAGACAAGGTAAATGGGATGTACTTGAATTGATGCGTATTCATCAAGTTGAACGCAATACTGCACAATATAGAGATTTTGTCAATCATCGATTACCTGCGATGCGTCGTAGAGGATTCAATGGATTAACTGTTCAAGTATCTGATAATCGTGGTCCAACTTGTTGCTTTAACAGTGATAGCAGACTTCGTGCAGATCTTGAAGATCACATCATCAACGATCATTTGAATTATATGACTCTGAAACAATTCAAAGATCTCGCACATTTCTATTGTGATATGTGTCATAAGACGACTCAAATTACGTGTAAAAAATCTACCAAGGCCAGTTATTATACAATTATACGAAAATGTGGTTGTCAACCAAAGAATACGCATCGATTTTCACAACCTTGGACTAACATAACATTGCAAGAATTATGTGATGAATTAAAACGCTACAAACAGTGTACAGAACAGCCGAAAACTTCAACGTTGCGCGGACATCCGTCACAGAAACCTTCAAATACCAACGCAGCGAAAGATCAATTGATCAACAATATTAGTAGAACTAATGGTTCTACATCTACTTCCACTTCAACAGTAAAGAAGATTGATTCGTTCACAAACAAAATCGACTCTCAGAAATCTCAAAATGACAGAAGAACAAACACTGATTCATCAAAGCAGGTTACTTCTATCGTAATACCTTCATCATGTACTCTTCCAGTAGGAACTCAGTTTCGACACTTACCAGAGGTTGTTGTTCTATCGCCGAAAATCAATGAAACGAACGACCTATTGACAAACGAACTCAACAGAAAAAGATTCGATGAAAATCAAAGACAACCTCTAAAGACTTCTGTAATTGTTATCGAACCAAATCAGAGCAAGCCAATATCACACGCTAATGATCGTAAAGGAAGAAAAAAATCTGCTTGCATGATTAACTGATATCGATTTCATTCGATAAACATTGCATCATGTTTGTGTTCAAATATTCTATTTTACTGGACAAAACTTTCTCATAATTCATCTTCACAATGCAAATAGATAATTGAGATGTTTGAAAATCTTTATGTTTATTAAATAAATTCAATTTTTTGAAAAGTAGAATCTGAAAAGTTTTCAGAGTGAGAGCGACAATATAATATTCAGTTTTCATCCTCCATTTATTCAGCTCCTAGTACACCACATACGTGATATCAATGTTCCTGAATCCTTTTGCAATTAGGACATGATAGTATGTTGAATACAAGTTAGCCATAGAAAAAAAAATCATTCAGAAAATGTTTGCCACATTTGTAAAACTATAACAGATTGAAACGGAAGATTTCATCGAATAAAAACTGTACAATAAGTCCCTTCATTGTGAGACAGAGAGTAGGCGTCAAGTAAGTTTTCTAAATCAATGTGTGAATATTGAAGTCATGATTGATGCGTCGATGGTATTCAAGTTCTATTGAAGGCAACAACAAATATATGAACATTACAATTACTAGGCATGTAGACTTTAAAAGGTGTTTTTACCTTTTCTTTACACCATGAAAAATAGAATTTTATCTTCTGTCCATAAGCCACAACTTATAAAAGTATGCAAGATCGTATTCTTCTGGAAAAAGATAGAAATCATTCGAAAAAAATCTTGATTAACTAACTTTCTTTACCGATGGATGACTTTAGAGGTCCTTTCCTAAGGGTATTGGTGTGAGTGTATTCTTCGTTCGACACACAGTCACACCCTCGGATCGTCATGGCTCATGTAATACCAAACAAACATAGAGAATATCACCTTTTCCCTATTTTTTTGCACCACTTGTTCAGTTTCTTTCTTTGTAAGATGAAATTCCTGATATCGAAAATAAAAATATGCTGTCTGGCTTTTTTTAACTTTGTTTTTCTATTATCATATAATTTTATTTAACAAAACAATGGTTCAAAGAAATAGAAACCAAACTAATGACGATGATTATCATAGCCAATATGGTCTGTCGACATAGTTTTTTACTTTTGTTTTTTTGTCTTTTTTGTCAGATCATAGTAAAACTATGCGTTTTGTGTGCAACTAAAAGAGAATAAGAAGACGAAAACAATTGCAATTCAGAATCTATCACTTCGTTTATCCATTTTATTTTATCATATTCATGGTTGTTGTTGAGACTTAACTGAATTCTTGAAATGAAAGATCATTGATTTGATGGTTTTTTCAATTTTCAATATGAGTGAATCACATTTACTTTTCATGTTCGTCCTTGTTTTAATAGTATCGTGGATGAAAAAAAAAGGGAAAAGAAAATATTATTATTTAATTTAACTAACTATTTATATTGTAATTTTTCTGTGAACTTATTTCATAACACATATTGATTACAATATATTTAACAACACTTGTTATTCATTGTTTAGCAACATTTCGTTTATGTGCAATTCAATCGGTTATTGCACGTGAAATATTTGCATTACTGATTATAAGTATATTCGTTACTATATTTTGTTCCATTCGCGTATGCATAGAAGAATGTGATATATTTTCATCATCCATTAACCATTTGAATAGCTCAATTTTTTTTTTGTACTTTTACACCATCGATTTTAATTAGTACACTTGCTATTGTTGTACAGCGTCGTTGTCATTTTACCCTACTTATGCCAGTTTATCAATTAAGTTATTATAAATAGTTTTTATTAATGTTTATCATAAACGCACTGTTGGACAAAGCTTTCTTATCATGTTATCTTATCATAATCCATGCAGACGAATGAAAAGGTTGAACCTGTTAAAGCGAGTTTGTTCGTATATAAACAGGTTTTAACGCATTTACTGCGCTAAAAGCAATGATTTGATACGTTTTAATGTATTTGTATATTTCAAGTAGAATCAGCAAATAATTGATTGGTTAATGTTGTGATGATTTTTTTCATTTCGTCCATCTGCAACTCAAATTTGTTTTTTATGCATGGGTCTTTTCAATAATAAGTTAGTTAGACGAGTCAGAAGATCTCATTTTGAAATAAGAAACTTTATTTTGGTGACAAAAATTATCGAAGGTTTACATATTTTCTCTCGCACTTTTTTACTTACATCCTTATATATATCATTTTAACAGCAAAATGATTCTTAGAATAAAATTCAACTCAAACTAATAAAGAGAGAGAAATTATTCGAGTTTCAATTAATTTTCCATAATAATATAAATTTATTTGACAAACATTTCGAAAGCATCTACTTTCTTCTTCAGTGTTTTATGTTATAACAAAAGAATAAAATGACAAATGTACAAATATTAATATTTTTCTTATAATAATGGTACGAAAGAACATGATTTGAACTCATCTCGCCTAGTATTATTGTCTTATTTTCTCTTCCGTACAATTATTATAAGAAAAAGATCAAAGAGAAAAATATTAACGTTGGTGCATTTGTCATTTTGTTCTTTTGTTGTCACAGAGAACAGTGATGAAGAAAATAGACGCTTTCGAAACGTTTGTAAAATAAATTTATATTATTGTGAAAGAGTAATTGAAACTGAAATATTTAAATGTTCTCTCTATTGAACACAAAAAAGAAAAAATATTTATGAGAAATCTTACAACTGTGTTGAATCTTTATCGACAAGACACTGAATTGCTAGTAAAAACATAGTGAAAGAAAGAATATTTCCTTATATAGATAACAAGTTAAGAAATTTTTCAGTCGTTTCTTTATCTGTCTCTGCTGTGGTCGAAATGTTTTGATATCTGAATGATTTTTGTGATTGAAATTATATATGAACTGTTTAGACATGAACTAGCATTAATCATGTATATATATAGGGTAGCAAGGAAAAAGCAGCTACTATTACTAGACTCTTTATTCTTCGTGCTAGATATTTATGTCAATAGTTCTTCTATAGCAGAATACTCTTTGATGTGTGATTCGCTTTTTTAATTCAATATTTGATTTCAAGAAATTTATCAATGTAATCTCATTAATAAGAAATGTCGTTAGGATTAGTGAAGAATAGCTACAACCCTAATACCTTAGTATTACTAGAAACAGTAAAATGCAGTGTTTACTAATAAATAATAGGCTATACGTAACATCGATTCATACAAGAGCAGGTGTTAAGAATCATAGAATATTAGTGTAGTTTCATTTTCTTCCGAAGAATAGATTCATTGCCATATTAATAATTGACTTACAACTTTCGAGTGAAATTTTTTATCATTTAAAAAAATAGAACCCCTGTGTTGAGACCCTCGTCCATTCTAAATGTAGTGTCATATCTTTATTTTCTAGTGTGACAGTCTTTTTTCACTATTTAGAAGGTAAAATAAAACATTGAAAAAAATTTCACTCTGAAGCTGTTAGTCAATTATTTACATTAATATGGCACTGCCTCTATCCTTCGGACGGGAATGAAACTACACTACTATTTTGTGATCCTTATAACCCTTGTCTTCTATAAATCAATGTAACGCATAGTCTATTATTTATTAGTAAACACTACAATTTACTATTCCTTGTAATACTGAGAGATGTGGGTTGTAGCTATTCTTCAGTTGTTTTAATACATTGTCTCTATCAATGCAGTAAACTCACGATATTTATAATGTATTAAAATGCTCTCCATTTAACTGCATTCGCACAGTCAAAACTGTCCGAAATTATGAGCTATAACGCGTTAAAATATTTTTCTGAAAACTGTGATAATGGGCTTAAAGTATAGGAAAAAAGGCACTGTTAAAACATGGCTTTTCCAACGTTTTTGACTAAGCAAAACGAGTTGAATAGCGGAAAAGTAGAAGTTGTTTTAAAGCGTCAATTTCACATTTCTGACTGCATGGGAAATATCAAGGGTTATTTACATTATTTACTTGTAAATACATTAATCGATCAAAATGACGAAGAAGATCGAAAAAAATAAATAAAAGCATTATCTAAATTATTTCCTCAAAATAAAATTGTTGTTCGATCAGGATTTTCACAAACAGCTCAATAGGCCCGAGAACCAAATATGTTTATTGAAGTAAGTAAAATTTTATTTCATGTCATAAGCTTTATTTTTCAATGATTAAATAACATTAAAAAAATGTTTTTTAAATAACTTGAAAAAAAAGCTAATTGGCATAGGTCTCTCTGGGGCTAAACTGTGGAACTCACATGTCTTCATTAACTTCATTATATTAATACGAAATACGTAAAAACTCTCTAGCAGACAATATTTCTTTCTCAAGGGCAATCAACCGTTAGATAAACGAACACTTTAAAGAATGTTAAAAACATTTCAGAAAATCAGAATTATTCAATAACACTAGAATGAAGCAAAATGATTTTAAAAAAATAAGAATCACTTCGAAGACTGTATTTGATTCGTTCGATGAACATAGATTATATTATTCAAATTGAGAAACGAACATTTAACCATAGATATGCAGGATGTTCCAAAAATTTGAACGAAAATTTTTAAATAGTTTGACCACATTCATTAAAGTTTTCTTCAATATATTTCAGATAAAATGTTTACACCTAAAGAAGTCAGAATTAAAACAGTGTCTGTGTAACTCTTCTTCGTAGAATTGTTCAACGAATTATACCTGGTATAGCTTTAATAAGAGATGTTCCATCATAATCCAGAATGTTATTGTATAAATTAATGAACAAGCTTCGACAATAGACCAAATACTTGATCCTGGTTCATTCTTACAAGCATTCTTAACTTCGGTGACTTTTTCGGTAAGAACCTGATCAATTTCCGCTAGACTTTCGTTTTAAGATGATAGCTAACTCAAACTTGGTCATCAATAAAATTATTTTAATTCTGACTTTTGTAGACATACACATTTTATCTGAAAGCTTTAATGAATATATGATCAAACTGGAAAAAATATTCAAATCTTTTGAATTACTGAGGAACTACTTATGTTGTTTTTGTTGGTCGGACTTTTGAAACATCCTAAAGTATGATTTCGACTGTGCGTTCGGAACTATAATGGAAAAGTTTAAGATATATGTCATCCTCTCTCTCTCTTTTTCTACACTTATCGTGGCATGCAGCAGTCGTAAGAAGACTTGCTACTAGGTAAAAAGTACATAAATTTCAATCATTTTATCTGATATTTTGATTACGAATAGATTTCGGTCAGCTTTTATTTCAAGCAGCAACTCGAGGTTGATATGTCTTAATATAAAAGATTTACGATGAAAACACTAATAAATTTTCTGATTTTCCACTATTTAAATGCGTTAACCTCCATTTTCTTATTAACAAATAAAAGTTTGCATGTCTATATTGTGTTACAGATAGACCATTTCAGTTCACCATAATCTTGAGAGACAAGAAAGCCTACATTATCTGACATGGTCTCAGCATAACTCTCTTCTCCACTGATGACTGCCATCGTGGAATTTTGAAGGAAAACTTGACTAGAACATGATACTCACTGGAGAAAATTTCAAGGCAAGCGGTTAAAATTAACCGGAGCTATGGATAACTTTTCGACGATTTCCATCAACTCTCATATGGATATAATCTACAGAATACTTCATAAATCAAGTAAATTAGCATTTTGATGGAAAAGACAACATTTAACTGTCGAATGAAAGGTCTAACGTCATGAAACTTGTTTTCTATGTTGAGATAATCATGTCTGAAAGAAGATGTATCTTGATCTTCTAGCTCTTTCGCACGAAGACCAATCTAGTACTGGGTTTTATCTGGTAGCAGAACCTTTTTACGACCACTGTACTATAATTAATAACATGTTACAAAAGTCTTTTTGTTTTGAATGCAAGTAACATTATCATACTTTATATTTTTAATTTCATGGATATTTCATTGAAAACTTTTTTTTTTGTATATTTAAAAGATTCGTGGTGATGAATGTCAAGCACGTATTATTAGCACACTTTTTGGTATAGAATTTTGTCAAGATGATATAGGTATTGGTGACGATGAAGTTGAAGAACAAAATTATTCTGTATTAATTGTTAAATAAGATTGGAGTAATGAAGACGAACGATTAAATTTTGTTTCAATGATTCTTCAACATTATTCATCACTATCAGCTCAACTTGATATCAATGGACAACTTGTATTTCATGATTATTCTATGCACTCATCATTACATATGCGTCGTATTCATTACCATTACCATCAATATCAATAAAATATCGACAAAAACAACATGAACAAAAACGAGATGAATATGATAAAAACAAAATTCTTTTATTTTGACCTTCTCATTTATATTCATAAGTTTTTATCTCTCATCAGCCATATATGTGTCTTACAGACACCAATTACTTTTGTTATTATATGCTTGCTTTTACTGCATATATGCCTTCGTGTCTTATTTAATTTTATCCGTTTCTTTTTCTCTTTCTCTTATCACTTGAATAATTGTAAGTGAAGTCGAGCGTTGTTATTACCTGTATGTTGTTCAGAGGCAATCATTAGGATATGTCCTTCCTTGTTTATATGGTTATACGTATACACACATGTTCTTCACCTTTTTCTTTCTCGTTAGTCATGCGTCATGAAATTTTCCTTTGCTGTCATACATATATATGCGACTTTTCCCTTTCCTTCTGTTATTCTTTCTTTTATGTTGTTCTTTGGGTTTTCTCCATGTTATCATTCTATATATATTCATTGCATTATTGCTAATAGGAGACACATATATAGTGATATTGAAATAAAGTAGAAGTGAGATTAAGATCTCACAAGCGTTACAAAATAAAGATGAAAAAAATGACTGTAAGTTTGTTTATAGTTGTTTGTGTTATAATAACTTTTATTATCCCTATGGTTCAACTTTTTATTGGATTTAAATATATTGCTCAAAATCGAGACAGTCCTAACCAACCATGTGAAGCAGTACTTGATTTAGCATCACTTATGGTTATTTATGGTTTATTGGCAGTTGCTTTCTTAAGTACAGCTTATGGTTTTTTAAAAATAATTTCTTCAGTCAGTAAATACCCAAGTGATGTATCTCGAAAAATGCTAAAAATTCTTATTGGTAACTCTTTTTTGTTTTAATAAACAAAATAATTGTGAATTTGAATACTATTAAGGTCTTGTTAGTTTTATTGTTGGTATAATTACATTTATTTTCTTTGTTCTCATACAAATTCGAGTTCATGGAGCCTATTCAAAAGGTGTTCAATTTAATAATAATTCAGTGTCCAGTTATTGTCAACCGACAGTCCTGCGTGATGCTTTAGTTGTGATTATCCTTACATATATCAATATGCTTTTATTCATTGGTACTGTTACATTTATTGTTGTTCAGACACGAAATAAACTAGAAGAAGAAAAACAAGCTGATATTGAAACGGCGAAGGATAATATGGGTTATAAATTTTACGAAGTAACACAACAACAATAATAAAACAATTTTTTAATCAAATAAAATAAAAAATTATATGAGTTTGTAATGAATCTGAGAGAGTACTTTTTCAAATGATATATATCAATAGACTATTCATAGCGTCATTATAGAAAATCTATGATGCTTTTCATTTCAAACCAGAAACTGTCGCAGGGCAGATGTTTTCGTTTTGGCTTGCCTTGAGAGCAGGACTTCTAAGTTGACTATACGTATTATAAAATCTAAAACCTTCAAAAAAAGTATCTGATTGCTTTCAAATTTATTATTCATATTATATATATATCATTTTAAGAGAACGCCACAATTAAACTTGGTATGCAATTTAAAAGCATCACACACCAGAAAGTAGCACCCTTGTAAAAACTCGAAAAAATATCTAATTTTAATGGACTTTTTCTGTTTAAAACATGATGATTCAATTTTTAACCGTATGTAATCACGATACAGATAACAAACTTTTTTCTGAAAGTTAAACTTGAAAATTTTCAATTTTTTTTCTGGATTCCTTTGGCACATGCGTATAATGTTTTGAAGGGTTCCCCTGCATAACGCCGAAAGTCAAAACGTCGAAATAAAAATATCGAAATGTAAAAATATCGAACCATAGAAATATCGAAAATAAAAATATCGATTCATAAAAATATCGAAAATACAAATATCGAAATAGAAAAATGCCGAATAAAAACTTCTAATTTTTTAAGACTAAGTAAATCAGACGTCGGGAGAAAATATATATCAAACACATAAATGGAGATGGCACTAATGGTCGATAGGTCCAATGAGATACACTGGTAACTAATGTAAGTGGTCGAATACGTTACTGGTCAATAGAATGGACAATATTTTAATCTAAGTACAAGTAAACAACAAAACAAAGGCATTATCTATGGAAAAAAATAACTGAATACATCATCAATAGCTAAAGCTGATAGTAGGGGTGTGGGTGTGGGTGTGGGTGTGGGTGTGGGTGTGGGTGTGGGTGTGGGTGTGGGTGTGGGTGTGGGTGTGGGTGTGGGTGTTCAATTTATTCTAACACCCATCCCACACCCACAACCACCCACACCCACACACAC